GACCTATCGCATACATTTTACTATGAATATTCTGGTTGTCTGCATCGTACCCGGAGTAAGTTCTTTTTAAATATTCAGGATGATAAAATAACCAAGTTCAAACCATTCCAGCGGTACTCTTTGGTTCTTTCGGTAAAGTCACGTCGCTAGAAAAAAATAATAGCTCACGGCATTTCGATAGTCATCAGGTGAGACAACTACAGCAAGAACACTGCTGAAGTAGTTTTCTTGCTGCAGTCACGAAAACTTCAAATCAAGATCATTCCAGCTGTCTTAACTGAAATTGTATTCATCATCAGCAGCTGCTGTCCACAGGAGGAGATAATCCCCAGGATTTGTTGGTCATGTCTAAGGCTCAGAGCCAGCTATCAAGGCATTCTGACACTAGATCCTCAAGTTAATGTACATCAAAACCAATGTAGCGGAGTACTGTGTTACATTGCAATTGCATGGGACTGAAATCCCTTCCAAAGGTGGCAACCCTAACCACACTGGCAGTACAAATTAAAAAAAGTCCTCGGTTGTATGTCCGTGGAAATGGTATTAAATTACACAAGGGATGACTAATAGCAGTGGTGTCTGCAGTTGCTGAAGCAAGGTTCAGGGGCAAATTATCTCGCTCACATTCGTTTGTCTATCATTTCCTAATCTTTATTTGGCTGCAAGCAGCTGCCTTCGGGAAACAGGTGTGCATTCTGTTTGACTTTAGCATGTCCCCTCCGCCCCCATTTAGATAATTAAGCTCGCAGTCGAAAGTGGTGTAATTATTCAGACTTGGAGTATGAAGTTGCGTACACATGGTGGCATGCACTGCAGCAGTTGGTAAGTCTCATGCCATGCTGCCAGAGCTCATGGGACTTGTTCTGTCATAACCAGAGCTCTGTTTTAGTTCCTTAATTACCAAAAACACAGTTTTCCATTTAAGAAATGGTTTGCAGCCAAACACAAGGAGGATAATTTAAATGTGCAGGGTTTAGTAATGATTCGCCGCATCCCCGATCCAAATGAGTTGGCCTCAAGTCATCATGTGGTTCGGTGAGTACATTCTAATTACTTGAGCGTAATCTATTTTAATCAGAATCGATATGCATTCTTAAACCCCTGTGACCTTTATAGTGTATCGATCATTGCCACTTGACCTTGGAAAGTGGCAAACTCCCAGAGGACCGGTTTCATTTCTCATCATGGCCCTTTTTAACTGGGATTGTATAAAAAATATATTTGTCACAGTATTGATTTTATATTACACATATACACACAGTTGCTACACTTTTTCTCAAGAGTGGTGCCGCAAATTTGACACCTTGCGTTCATCCTTTTTAGACACCGTAAAAACTTGCTTTCCTGGAATATACCGATACTACGATATATTGTACGATAAAATATCCACGGTAATCAAATGCTTTAATATTTTTCTAAATATTGTTCTATCGTGATTATCGTTGCTTGCATACGTTTTATTAAATGTAGGTTTTACATACTGATCAGCTGTGACTTTTTTCTTAAATATAGAGATGAATGATAGATTAAGTTTATTTCTTTAAATGTACTTTTGCCAAGTCCTGTCATGAGGCAGATATTATCAAGCAGTTCTGGTTGAAGTTTTAAGTACATTCAGTATCTGCAATCGAGAACGTGGAAAAGATTTGGCAATACAATACTGTGCGAGAGGTGATGATTCAAATGTGATTTTTGTTAAACTGGCATAATTTACTCCTTTTGGCTGGATTACAAGTTTAATCTCGACTTAACATGTGACTGGCATTCCCTTTAAGGGACTCGCACATATGCCATATCTCTATTGGTCACGGGTTGTTTGACCATACTTACCCATGCTGGTCAGTGTGAGGCAGTGAAATTGGGTGTCCTAGGCGCCCTGCCCCGGAAAGAATCCAATATTACTCGCCACTGATGTTATCCGTGCCCAGGAATCAAACTCAGGTTGTCAGGTTTATTGTGCAGTGTGCTAACCACTGCACCTCTTGCAATCAAGGTGTTTGCTCATTGACAATGTGTTTGCTCATTGACAATGTGTTGTGCCACCTTAATATTGTAATATTTGTTGCATGTTATTGCTGGCCTGAATTACGTCATTGATGGCTTCATTTGAGTGTAATTACGTCACCTTGCTGGGGTCAGGCGGTGTGTGGTCATGTAAAATTGTAGATTCGTGATTAGTCACAGACTACCTAATTGAAAATGTCCTGTATAAAGGTCTGTGTATTTTAATCGCAAATCATAAAATACTGCAAATCCATTTATTGTCACTACCACACTGTTAAATGATGGCTTTCCCACACTGTGCAGCTCAAGGGGGTTGTTTCACCATACATAACCATGCTGGTCAGTACGAGCTGGTGAAGGTGGAGAGCATAGATGCAGGACCATAAGTACATCACAACAATACATTTTGCTGATTTTCCCCCTGCTGCCTATGATGACATGGTCCCACAAGCCCTATATGGCAACCTGTTTGTGCATGGTGGTGAACCCATCAAAGCACTTCAGGTTCAGCGCTGCTTAGCTTCTAAGATATGACGATCGGACATTCCGGGCGACTTGTCCATAGCTGCAGCTCCTTATTCCTACTGAAACTTGAAAGGTTTACCACGATAATTGTGCATCCTAGGGCAGACTTTTAAGAGGTCCTGCAATTTCAGCTGACAATTCAACTGTAATTGCAATTACAATTAACCCCCAGGTCTGACTTGAAAAAAAACTGTCACAAGGCAGTAATTACGTTTTTTCCTATGTATGCAGGAATTACTTTACATGACGTGTATTGCATGTGGTTAAGGTATAGCACAAGCGAACTAGGCACGTTAATATAGGTTCTTAAAACAATACTTTGAAAGGTCCTCCTTTTTATGGTATTTCTGCAATTTAACAGCAGTGCACGATGCATTGACGCATGAGCTCAATAATAAATAGAGCATGTGTGGGCGTAATCATTTATAATGGGATGTCTTTTCTGGGTAGGTCCCTAAGGTCACATTTATCAGTAGATCACAAGTGAAATTATGGCTGGGCTGGAGGTGTTTGGACTTTTTTTTGTTTCAGGGGCTGGCTGAACACAAAACGCACTTTTGTATTATCATACGGAATAATGTACGTCACAGCAAACTTGGACAAATACAAACCCATATCGAACCTATATATACGGAAGTAAAACTTTGCAACTTTGGCGATTTAATTAATCATGGAGTTCAGTGTTTTAATGTTCTGCAAGTTTTGTTTTGTCCAAAGTGTGGATTAGCATTGATTTACCTACCAACTCGTACCGGTGTGTACAGCACTGTGAATACATATCCCCAGTATGATTTTTCACTATACGCAATCCTAAACGTAATGTTGATTATGCTTCTTTAACAATGCATATATCGTTGCGCCTTATTAAATGTTGCCATCGCATTTTCTCCTGGTCACTGAACCAAAAATGTGGTTTGAAAACCAGTCTTCAGGAATTCGGTTTCAAACCTTATAACTTAAAAACCTCTGCCTCGTGCTCTCCGTCCCTTGCAGTGACCTTGAGAAATGAATGTTGTGAACAACTGCCTCTTCAGTTTGTTTGTCTCCTTTACAATGTGAAGGTTATACATTTCTCATTAGTAACACGATATGCAACAGTGTCTTTACATTTAAACACAAGTTATTCATCATCAAGTTTATTGTACATATTTTAATTATGTGTACCCACTTGTATTTTTTTTAACAAAGCCAGTGTGAGAGAAGACAACATCTGGAGATAGTTGTTAAAGTGCGTGTAATGATACCTGGTATGTGTGGTTTTCATCGTTATTATTTTCCAAAGTAGTCGTTCCCTGTAAAAATGTGTTCACATCCCGAGACAAGTGATGCTTCGCAGCGCTAGTTTTGCTTTCCCATAAACAGTGACGTTTCACAAGTAGAAATAACTTCCTGACCACGTAATAATTTTTTATGAAAACATGCCAACTAAAATCTAGTTTTTTCCCAGCCAGCTGAAGTGAGTTTTAGAATGCGTACAGCTCATTCCATTAATGTCTTTAAATCGGCTGACTGCAGCATTACTTAACATTGGCCATGTGCCTTCTAAAATAATGCACAGACATACAATACATGTAATTGGCGTGCCTGGTCTTTGATGGCTGCTGCAGAAAAAAAAGTTGTGTAACGCTATCTCATTTGGATATTTTATAATGGGTTGGGGGCGGGGCACGATAGCTCTTGGTAAACATGACTCATTATGAATTAAACATTAGTATGAAGTTGTAACTAATATGGACTTGCCCTTTTGAGACAACTAGAAAATGTGATCTAATTAAATCTTGACTTAAAGCTTTCGTAACTGTAGGAATTCACATTATTTGGCTCTTTCGGTAAAGCCACGTTAGATATCTACGTGACTTAGATATCTACGTGACTTTACCGAAAGACCCAAAGAATATGATCAAATTACCATCTAGAACTTGAGAGTAACACAAAACAACGGTAAAAAAGGGACAATTTATAAAGATGCAAACACATTAATTTCAGCTACCAGTGATGATTCGGACTGCTGATTATGTGTTTCCAAGGATAAACGGAAGTTGGAAAGCATTACATAATCTGTGCGTGTGCATTTTTTTTTTACTGAATTTTGGCTCGTGGCTTTATTATTTGGGAAAGTTGGCAAGACACTTTAAATACATGAATGTCCTCTATCCAGGAAACACTGACTGAGTCGCAAGAATGTCCTTTATGAGGGTCCTGCTTGGTGTTTTTCGTGTTTAAGTGGGTGAGAGGAAACCTAGTGAAAACAAACACACTACAAAGGGATATCGTTAAAATTCGTGCATAGATACCTGATGTGCTGCCACTTAATGGCCACCTCGCAACCAGGAAGATTTTGTATCTTGTGTGCTTGACGGCCTCCGCACAATTATCCCAATCGCCCGCTTTGAAGCAATTTAAAATTTAGAGGCGTGTGCTGCGATGCGCCGCTAAGTTCTGTTTCCTGTCTTGTGCTGTTGTCATTTCAGCTGTGTGACCCCCAAACTGGTATTCAACCCCATCAATGGCAAGCGGAGCAACGGGCTGCACCTTCCCACACCGGCACCAGCGCACAAGGAGCTCGGCACGTCCTCGCACGCCGAAAACGTCAGCTTCGTCTACAGCAGTGAGTGCCACGGCACGTGGGCGAGCCGCTACACTGTTAAGAACACATTCCTTGCCATGTGTGTGAATATCCACGTTTAAACATACTGGGACGTGCCTACCTTGTTCGCCAGTCGTTGGCACAATAAGGGATGATGAGTTATGGATGACGAAGACGATGGATGGTGGTAATGATCTATTGTTGCCGTGGTCACAACTGCAGTCACCGCCACAAGGTTGATCATTGTCATTGTCAGTCGATGCAACGGAAAGACTACTTGGCAGGAACGGGCATTGGAGTGGCAAGCTAGAGAAGTTGGTGAGAAGTGTTGTATTCTGTTCGAGAACCATGTGGGATAGCGCTGCAAGTAAACTTAACACCGTAAATGCTAGTCACGGCACAATGACGATGCATATGGTGATGGATGAGGAATTACTAAATGATGGTTGGTGAAGTAGATGATGGTGCATGGTGATGTTCGACGACATTGAGGATTTTATCATCTCTTTGTAGCAGATGCTGTCACAACCACCCAAGTACAGCACTGTGCAGTACTTCATGTTGATCATTCCGTTACCCATGTTTACCACGGGTGGCAGTCATGGAACTCCACTACGTGCTAAATTCATCCCATTATATATTGTCTGTGATTATCAGAGATAAAAGTTGTGGATAAGAGGAGTCCACGAACCCCGTTCCTTGCGATTTACTCATCCCATTATCCGTGATTGTCATAGATAAGTCACGGTACTGTACCACACACAATATTCTTACCATTAGCTATGAATATTGAAGATAATAGTCATGGATAAAAAAATATATTTCCACACATTGCAAACTAAACCACTTATTGGAAAATGTGCTTATCCACAAAAGCAGCCCCACTCCTCTGAGGATCTTAGCTTATAACTCTGTGGCCAAGCGATTTATGTTACGATTTATATTTTGTATGCAATTTTGTAGAGCGTAAGTTGTGGTTTTCAGGTTAAACGCCGTGTTGTTTTGCATGATTTCTGACGTTTCGCTCCACGTACCAGGAGCTTCAGGAATCCGGTACAGTGAAGGAAAAAAGTATTTGATCCCCTGCTGATTTTATACATTTGCCCACTGACAAAGAAATGATCAGTCTATACTTTTAATGGTAGGTTTATTTGAACAGTGAGAGACAGAATAACAACAACAAAATCCAGAAAAACGCATGTCAAAAATGTTATAAATTGATTTGCATTTTAATGAGGGAATTAAGTATTTGACCCCTCTGCAAAACATGACTTAGTACTTGGTGGCAAAACCCTTGTTGGCAATCACAGAGGTCAGACGTTTCTTGTAGTTGGCCACCAGGTTTGCACACATCTCAGGAGGGATTTTGTCCCACTCCTCTTTGCAGATCTTCTCCAAGTTATTAAGGTTTCGAGGCTGACGTTTGGCAACTCGAACCTTCAGCTCCCTCCACAGATTTTCTATGGGATTAAGGTCTGGAGACTGGCTAGGCCACTCCAGGACCTTAATGTGCTTCTTCTTGAGCCACTCCTTTGTTGCCTTGGCCATGTGTTTTGGGTCATTGTCATGCTGGAATACCCATCCACGACCCATTTTCAATGCCCTGGCTGAGGGAAGGAGGTTCTCACCCAAGATTTGACGATACATGGCCCCGTCCATCGTCCCTTTGATGCGGTGAATTTGTCCTGTCCCCTTAGCAGAAAAATACCCCCAAAGCATAATGTTTCCACCTCCATGTTTGACGGTGGGGATGGTGTTCTTGGGGTCATAGGCAGCATTCCTCCTCCTCCAAACACGGCGAGTTGAGTTGATGCCAAAGAGCTCCATTTTGGTCTCATCTGACCACAATACTTTCACCCAGTTGTCCTCTGAATCATTCAGATGTTCATTGGCAAAGTTCAGACGGGCATGTATATGTGCTTTCTTGAGCAGGGGGACCTTGCGGGCGCTGCAGGATTTCAGCCCTTCACGGCATAGTGTGTTACCAATTGTTTTATTGGTGACTATGGTCCCAGCTGCCTTGAGATCATTGACAAGATCCTCCCGGGTAGTTCTGAGCTGATTCCTCACCGTTCTCATGATCATTGCAACTCCACGAGGTGAGATCTTGCATGGAGCCCCAGGCCGAGGGAGATTTACAGTTCTTTTGTGTTTCTTCCATTTGCGAATAATCGCACCAACTGTTGTCACCTTCTCACCAAGCTGCTTGGCAATGGTCTTGTAGCCCATTCCAGTCTTGTGTAGGTCTACAATCTTGTCCCTGACATCCTTGGAGAGCTTTTTGGTCGTGGCCATGGTGGAGAGTTTGGAACCTGATTGATTGCTTGCTTCTGTGGACAGGTGTCTTTCATACAGGTAACAAGCTGAGATTAGGAGCACTCTTTAAGAGTGTGCTGCTAATCTCAGCTCGTTACCTGTATAAAAGACACCTGGGAGCCAGAAATCTTTCTGATTGAGAGGGGGTCAAATACCAATTTCCCTCATTAAAATGCAAATCAATTTATAACATTTTTGACATGCGTTTTTCTGGATGTTTTTGTTGTTATTCTGTCTCTCACTTCAAATAAACCTACCATTAAAATTATAGACTGATCATTTCTTTGTCAGTGGGCAAACGTACAAAATCAGCAGGGGATCAAATACTTTTTTCCCCTCACTGTATGTGGAGCGAAAAAAGTTGGACTGTATACCAAACAACACGAGCTATATATAGCACAGCTCTGCAAACCTATGCAGGAGGAGAATTCGTGGCTCCAGATTTCTTGAATATTCAAGACCGGTGGTTGTTGAAAGAGTCACGTTGCAAGAAACCTGCTCCTGAAACTTTTCATGGCCGATTACAATTTGTCAGTGCCTTTTTCGCAACACTAGCTCTAGCCGCTACAGTGAGAATACATGAATGCTACTCCAAGTAACCTAATCCAGGGGGTGTGCTCAGAAGGTTGTACAAATGGAACAAAATAACTAGCTGTGTACTGGGGGATGGTGCAGGTTGGCAAGTGTTCCAGTTGGCAATTTGCCCATGTGCCAGTGTGCGTGTGCGCGTGTGTCAAGCAACGGTGTTTGTCATCCATGCAGAGGAACTGGACTTGGTGCTGTTTGCCGAGCAGATGGTTAGGAAGATGAGGCATGCATGTGCGTTCATCGAGCAAGCTTCTTTCAGTTCGCTTTTTCAAAGTATGTTTCATTTAATTGTTTGATTGAATGATACACGTTATATTAGCAGGTGAGAACCATTGCGATTTCAAGTCTCTTTCAAATCTGACCTGGGTGTTGTGTTTATCTACAGTAGTTGATTTCCTGACCCAGAAATGTAGACTGTTAATCATCAAGGACTATCATGCGCTTATAAATATATAATGTGATTATTTGTTGGTGTAATTAGAAAACATGAGAGCCAAGGAAATGAATGTGTCTGAGAGGGATGTAGCAATGAAATTGGCTCGTGTGTCGGTGCTGGGTGAATTATCACTGGATCGTGAAGAATGCATGGCGGTGGTTTGGGTAGGCCTTCCTCCGGTGGTGGATTGACCATGGCTGATGATGAATAGTGGCAATAGAATAGTTAATGCTTTGCCAAAATTCAGCATGTAATACATTTGGTATTTATTATTCATCCCAATTTTGAATCCCTTATCTGAAACATGCATTTTAACAATGATAGTCAAACAATCATGTGCCCTCACCCATACTTTCCAGTAGACTGGCAATTCTAGAATTTACCATTCAAATGTGAGGATTACATGAAAGTGGTGCCCTTAATCATACAAAACATAATGTTCCAACGCAATTGTTATAATGGTAATGATAAAAAAGGAGAGAGTGGACGTCGGTGGCCTTTCACCTAGTTTAATACAAAACACTATGATGGAAAATGTGTCTTGCATTATTTAAGTAGAGCCATTCAACATGTGCCATGCCTCTGACTACACTTTGCCATCGTTTAATATTTTATTCATCTTTCATTTAGTGGTACGGCCCTGCAAAGCTTTGTGCCATTGTTTTTGCTCGTGCCAATTTAAAATGTTTTCCATACTTGATAGGCTTGAGCGTCATCGTGAGTTAATCATAAGGCCATTAACAAATCACCCAGAATGCACCTGATCTTAGCAGAGTTGAGCCTGGATTGTCTTAGGTTGCTGTTGGGCTGTGCTGCGTTGTGGTCAGCAGAGGGTAGTGCAGCAACACACATTGTTGTACTGTACTCCTATGCTGCCATGTCTTTGCCTGCCTTCAACAACCCGCCTGGTCCAGTGTGGTGTCGTATAGTCAGATAACAGCACCCCTACCCAAATCCAGCAGTGGATTGATAACAAGGTCTGTCTGTACACGTGGTGAGTTAACACAAAAAGTTGGCTGTGGTGTTTATAGTCTAGAGTAAATACAATGCCACTCAAAAAAGTCAAAAGTATACCATGCTCTACTCAATTTCAGTACACACATTGTCGGACCATTATTGTTTTCAAAAAATAATCCCCAGAAGCAAAGTAAAAAAACATTTTGACATGACGTTACTTTTTTTTCACAGTGCGAAAAGATGAATGTTGCTTGTATTGGCAGCATGTTTTGTTCGACTTGTACAACGCTTCGTTGAGATGTTCTTCCAAATGTGAGCACTGCCTGTGCATTTGCTCAGGATACACGGCCAGGGGTGGGAGGGTGGTTTGATGGGGAGGCGACGCATGAACCCGGCTCAACGCTGTGGGTTGTGGGTGACGTCATTGCCCTGTGCACTTGCGTGCCCGTGCATCATCCAGCCAGCAAGCCAGCAAAACTTGTTTCTAATATAGTATATTAGTATGATGGGCCAGTTTGACCTTTTTTGTTTCGCCTTCCACTATAAATATTCACTCCTCTTGTAAACCCATTCAATAAATGTTTAACATATACAGTAAAACTTTGGATTGCGAGCATAATTCGTTCCGGAAACGTGTTTGTAATCCAAACCACTCGTATATCGAAGCACTCGTATATCAGTTGTGAGATAGTGACGCTTGGCAGACAAAGCGTATACGTACTAC